GTACTGCTGGATTTTACTGGATTATATACTCAGAGTACTGCTGGATTTTACTGGATTATATACTCAGAGTACTGCTTGATTTTACTGGATTATATACCCACAGTACTGCTGGATTTTACTGGATTATATACCCAGAGTACTGCTGGATTTAAATAGAATTTAAAAAACAAAATTGCTTTAAATCAAATGTTATTTGAGTGCTTTTTGTTTTTCTTTCTTTTTGTGGAATTATGTGTTCATGATTTGAACTTGTGTTTTATTTTGAAATACTGAAGCTGGTAGTTTTGGTTTAGACGTGTCTACACAGGCTGTTGTGCTGATTTGTTTCCATGTATTTTAAGTTTTGTTAGACCTCAAACCAATACAGCACTCTTCAGGTGCAYGACCTGACTGCTGTAAAGTACATGTTGTATTAGTACTGGGTCTCCTCAGGTCTGGTTCTGTCAGTACTGGGTCACCTTCAGAGCAGAGATATTGATGGCCTGGATGTCTCCTCCAAAGTCCTCGCAGACGACGTCGTGGGCCAGAAGCTCCCGTTTGACTCTCTCAGGGTCCGCCTTGGGTTTGTCACATTTATTCACCGCCACAATGATTGGAACTGGACCCGTCCGAACCCGAGGTGAAAGCAGAGAGAACCATCAGAACTGAAGGTTTCCACCCACAGCTGTGTCTTTCAGGCTCGGCTCCTACCTTTGGCTCTCTTGGCGTGCTGGATGGACTCAACAGTCTGGTTCATCACACCATCGTCGGCTGCCACCACCAGGATGACGATGTCAGTGGAGTTAGCTCCACGAGCTCTCATGGAGGAGAAGGCTGCGTGACCAGGTGTGTCCAGGAAGGTGATCTTCTCACCTGTAGGCAGCTGAACTGGGAGAAATAAAAACCAACAGCACAAACTAATTATAAAGTTTAAAATCTAAAACTCATGTGGTTTTGTCAGACAAAATTATTTAAATTTAAAAAATCTTAGATTTATTAATTTTCAGTAGATAGTTTAGTTACTAAAGGTCCTGTCACACTAAACTTCTGAAACATTTTTATGTCTAAATTGCTAATAAAAGTGATATATTAGATCAATGTTTTAGAATTACAGTATGTACACGCTGAAAAGAAGCTTCAAGTTCAAAAAGAAAAATCAGTAGGTCTTCTGGACGATTCTTCAGTGAAACATTTCGTCTCTCCTCCAAGAGACTTCTTCAGTCTGATGAGTTTCACGTKAACTCAGCATTATAAGCTCCGCCTCCACCTGGACAAACAGGTTAGTCACATGCAAAAGAGGACCATCCATTGATATATATTAGTGGAGTGGGCGTGGCTAGCACGTTGCTACATGGACGTGCACACACTGGAGCTCTGTTCTGCATTGAGGAGCGTCAACACAATGAATGGATGTCAATGGACTGTGAGGTGTCTTCCTGATGAAAAACTCTTATTTCTTGCTCAATTTTTACAAACTATGGTTCAAATAAAGCTGAGGAAATTGTGAATTTTATAGTTATGGAAATTTAAAATAGATAACTAATTTAAATGACTAAAACAGTGGCTTAAACTGAGTATTTTGCGTTTCACAGGTGTTTTTTCATTCAAATCAATGAGTTCTGACCAGATGGATATTCATACATATATTTATTAATCACAACTGAGTCTTAGGTTGTATTCAGACCAGGAAAGTCCTTTGGTCCAATTGTTTGGTCCGGACCAAAAATGGACTTTATTTTTTTTTT